TGTTTTCACATATTTTTGTGATATTTCTATGTTCATTTTCAGTCATAGTTCCATTTATTGCGTCCTCTCGATTAAATATCTTCTAAACGTGTCTCCTACTGGTGAGATAAGGTGTCTGATAAATTGTTTCAGTGGCATTTAGTAATTGAACTTGAATATACAGCTGACCTGTATATAAGGTGTCTGGTCATAAACAGCCCTGGGGTAGAAAAACAGGACGTTAAACCCAATATCATTTCATTCAATTTCTAAAGCAATCCTCGTTCGCTTGCAATATCTTCGCGAGAAGGAAGGAGCATGTTGTGGTATCTATTGATACTTGCGATATGATGTGAATCGGTAGCCAACGTAACGCTATCTGCGGTTTGTCATCTCTAACAAAATTTCAGTATATTTTAATGGTATTATTACACAAACCAACTGATGCTCCTTCCTGGCTTGCGAAGACAAGCGTTGAAAAGCAAACGCTCTGTCGAAGGTGGGACAGATGTTAGAGTTTCAAGTACTGGTGGGCAGGCGGAAGTCGTCGACCATTAGTAATCGGATGTAACGACCTCGTGTAATAACATGAATGCCGATTCAACCCACTGTAGAAATGGTTTCTATGAGAAAATGACACTAATCTTACGGCATATTGGAAAAATAAATGTAATCACCGTTTGTGCGAAGTTGCCCTAGAACTCAAAACATGTGGGTCAAAAGTGATGGACGCTAAACGACATGTGCATATACCAGACGACGTAATGTCCGTGGGTTTTGTAAGCTGGCCAGCATGGTGGTACACGAACTGTCATCATGTTGATGGTTTAAAGTGACCATAGCCTGGGCAGTTAATTCATATTCTTCCGAGACTCTACAGCTGGAGAACTTCCGGTCAATTTGGTATCCGTAAGATTGATATAATTATAATTCACACGCCAATCTGCAGCCATAATGGCTACACCATCATTGACTGTTTGAAATATTAGAACACCGAGTATCGCCTTGCGTGATGTTATTTATAAACAATTTTTGCGTAGGCGACTGAACACTCGACTGACATTCCGCTAAAATGTACGAACTCTCGATCTCATTGTTGATGTTTCTTTTAATAACCCGTGTAAAATATGGCCTACATAATCTCATATATACATTATGCCCAAAAAGACCAGCCTATAAATGCGGGATGGAGGACGTGACAAGAACGATGTCTAGTCATTCGGATGTGAACAAAATCCGGGGTCCCACGTAACAGAATCTGGAAAAAAAATTACCTCGTAGCACACTATATGACCTACGTCCATCTTCGTTATCCCAGTCGGTGCAGAAAAAAATAGAACGTTAAATCCCATATCATTCAATTTACACCCCATAAACACCACAAACCTTAAAACCCCAGGATTCCTCGGTACTTACACGTCATCTACGGGTACGAATATGAAGTCAGGAATACATATTTACACAAAGATGTTATGAATTGCTAAAATAAATTTGAATAAGACTTTGCAACCCTATCAGGGGAAATGCCATGTTTATTGTGTATCCTTGAGTAGGCGTTAGAATATTCATGACCACTACTTTACATCCACTTTATGTCTTACTATGCTTATTGTGTATCCTTGGGTAGGCGTTAGGATATTCATGACCGCGACTATAGAGCCGTCTTTATGTCTTAAAATAACGAAAACTGTAAAAGAAATCAACAAACCACCCTTCAGTCATTGCACTTGGTTGTAAAACAGTCGTAAACATTCTTACAGCAGTAAAAAAATATAATGTTATTATGTATGCACAAAACTATCAAAAACTTGGTTTATTAGATGGCTAATATTTATGTGTTATGAGATTGATTTAAATCAAATATATTAAACATTTTCGAGGATGGGGGTTATTCCTATCCCCAGTAATCTTTAGTCTTAGTTTATTAGAAGATTTACGTCCGCACCCACCTAGTGTGAGCCATGAATGAGAGACCGTTCAAGCATAGGCTGAAAATGGAACCGTGTAGTATATAAAACCTTTTGTTTTTATTCACACGGACGGTTCGCTCTCGACCTATTTGCAATCAACCTTATTCCCCGCTTTCACTTGGTCTACGAATGCATGTCATATGTCAAGATAGGGTTGTACGAAATTAAAGATTTATCTATACGAGCTGAAGCGATTCAGATATGAATGAGTTACAGATATTCCGAATTCGGTTATGAATACACTACGCTCAGCACGAATGATGCCGATAAAGTTACGGTTACGAACATTTTACGATATTTGGCACTATTTGTCAATAAATCGAATAGGAAACTGTTACGGGCGATTTACGATACATCCACGAATTCCAAAACAAACACTAAAGCCAGGCTGACACTTGCACGACTTTTAGTCACGATTTTGTCGTGGCAAGTCGTGCCATTTTGGGGCACGAACTGGGAGGCTCCCGCACTGTTCACGACTAGTTCACGCATAGTTCGCGACGAGTTCAAGACGAGTTCACGAATGCGTGCCCATCAGTGTCCACATTGACACGAACTGACACAACGAGTTCACGCATAGTTTGCGCATAGTTTGCGCATTGTTTACGCACTTCCCGCATTGGCACGACGAGTTTGCGCAATTCGGACGGTGTCGTGCCGACTTGGGCACGCCATATAAAAGGGGGCCTCCCTAACCCCTGGTCATTTTTGGATTGGCTGTGGAAGAGACGTGCTGAATGTCAGAGACACAATCATTGCAGGGAGGAGAAGATGCCTATACTTGGCAGCTGCTCTAGCCATTGTTCAAGAGCAGCAGAAAAGGCTGGAAGAGGCAGAAGAGTAAGAAAAGGCAACCCCACCTCGAAGAAAGACACAAAGGAAAGTGTGGGTCAGGGAATGGTTGACCAGAAGGCAAGAGTTTGGACAGTATGATAGTTTACTGACTGAACTCCACGCACTGGCACGCATCCTTCCGCATCGTCCCGACGAGTTCACGAACAGTTTGCGCATAGTTCACGACCCGGTCGCTAAATTGTGTCGTGACCAAAATTTTGAACATTTCAAAATTCTCGTCCCGACATGGCATGCAGTCACGACGGGTTTACGCACACTTCACGCCAGTTTACGACTAGTTTGCGCACTGGCACGACTCGAGTCGTGCCAATGCGTGCCACGGAATCGAGCAAGTGTCAGCCTTGCTTTACGTGATCGAACTACGAACGGTTACGAACAACACGAATGTGTAAGAACCATAAGAATCACTCACGAACTTCAAGAATGGTTAACGATTTATCTACGAATCAGAAAAAGTTTGGATTCGTGGCAGGTTACGAAAGGTTTTGTTTCAAACATCACTTACGAACTTCAAGAACCGTCTACGAATCGGAAAAAAGTTTGGATTCTGGGAGATTCGTGGCATTCGTAGTCCCAGGTGAAATCCGGGCATTACAGCCGAATCTACTTTTTGGTCTGTCAATTAAGAACTTCAAGAACCGCCTACGAATCGGAAAAAGTTTGGATTCCGGGCGATTCGTGGCATTCGTAGCCCAGGTGAAAGCCGGGAATTACAGCCGAATCTACTTTTTGGTCTGTCAATTTTAAAAGATGTTCTACTTTGCTATACTTGTCAAAAGTACGTCCAAAACCTCGTAGATGTAGTAAACATTTACATGTCGAAAACTCTACAAAACTGTTTGTCAAACATTGTGCATTCCATTAAGTGCATGTCATTTGAGCGTAGTCAATGTCCTGATATTGATATCTTGATATGTTCGCTATATCAAAAGAGTGGAATGCAAAAATCAATTTAATATCAATAAAATATCATATTATTGTGATCATTATCAAATGTCATATATTCGGATATAGGTCTTTATTCGAAGTGTGCCATTGTGGCTCTGTGGATAAGATGTTGGCTCGTTAACTTGGAGATCCTGTGTTTGATCTCGGTGTTGGACGAGAAAGTTTTCGGTTTTCGAGATTTTCAGTCGTGTTTCCCCATTGTCATTGGTGCCGAACGGAGGGCCTAGCAATGGACAACGCATGGTCGTTCGGATGGAACGACAAACCGAGGCCCCGTGTACACATTGGCGTGCACCTACACGAACCCATGACAGTTGAAATTCGAAATAAGAGTAGGCTGTCTGGGCGAAACTTTTCCCCCATAGTACACTGTATGGCGTATGGCTGTTTAGGCCAGCCGGAGCAGAACAGCAGGACGTTAACCCAATTCCTTGCTCGAAACAGTCTTTGTCTGAGTATATCTTACTGTTTGACAATAAACGTTATAGACCATGGCGAATCTATCGAAGTCAATTTTCTAAAAGAAATGGATTCTCTCTAATGAAACACGATACATGTCATCATTTCTACAACTACCAATAAATCAATTTGCAATATATACATTTAGCTTCAATTTCTGTACATTTCATACATCATTAGAATCAGTTTAATGATTGGTTCCCTAACATTGTGATTTGATGCGCGTGTTTAGGGGAAGGGTGTGTTTTTAAGAAAATGAGAATAATTTTGTCTTGTAAAGTTTTTGGAGAATATTTGAAAACCCTCATCTAAATGTACAAGATTTGCTTTGCACTATCCAGTTCGTCGTATTGTCATTGGTTGGAGATATTTGAATTCCCAATCAGACTTCAGTATCAGGTTGTGAAATGAAAGGACTTGAAAGAGTTATTCAAATCCCAGTTCTGGATTTGAGAATTGCTTAAGTTAATACTCCAATAAATTCCATTATGTCAAATGAATCCAGTATTCGTATTATGTCATTAATAAATTTATATTTAAAAAAAGGCATTAATATTTCATCTTACAAAAAGTATAGTTTTTTTAAACATCATCCATAGTGTTTCCTTTTCTCGATTGTAGTTTTCAGACAATGGATGAGATGGGATATCGAGTTGATAGTCTGTATATGTTTAATCTTGTAGGCTGCTAGATACTTGGTGAAAGTTGACGTCGTACTAATGGGATGAAGACGTCGTTATTTATATCAAATTGCTTTATTAAAGGATGTATTTTTTTTTTTTTTTTCAGGTATATATTTGACCATTGTAATGTTTCTGACGTCCGTTTCGGTCATCATGACTGTGTTCGTTCTCAACTTACATCATCGTGGACCAGATAAGCGATCTGTACCTTACTGGCTAAGACGATTGTTCCTGGGTACCCACGGCTCAATGCCATCGGCAGCTCGTCAGGCACAGGACCGGTTCTTTTCCAATCACAGATCTGTGAACGAAAGCAATTTTATGAGGAATATTTCATTAAAATTAACGCTGGAAAACATAGCGCAAGACTTACAGGATCAAATCTTATTAGAAAATGGCGTCACTGATTCCATGCCCAACGATACACATGTACATCACACATGTCACGACCGGAGGGAGTGTGGCTATAATTCTCATAACTCAGAGCAGGGATTTCATAAACAATCAAGTTTTCGTGGTGGCAGAAATGCCAAATCGTATGAAGATATAATTTTATCTTTGACAAGATTATTAGACAAACATGACCGCGAGGAGAATGAATATGAAGTAATGCAGGAGTGGAGAAGATTAGCACAAACAATTGATCGGATTTTATTTTTCATATTTCTTGGTGGGACGGTCATTTCAACTTTGGCTATATTGGTTATAGCCCCGTCTACCCAGAAAGATTATTATTAATTTCCATAACCAAAAAAAAAATTAAAAAAAAAAATAAAAAAATGAATGCCGTTCATCCAGCCTCGGTGCTTTATCCCTATAAGTTGTTACAACGTGTGTGTTTGGTGTTTTTGTTCAAAATAATTCCGAGTGTGTTGAGATATATAGATATTATATTGTGCAACGAAATCGTGAACGTATGTAGATGTATATATGTGACGTATATATAACGCATGTAAACATATTACTTATATAATTGTTATTATACATATAAATATCATATATTCCCCCTCTTTATTTGATGTTCTATTTCCCCGTGTTTTACATTCTACTTACAAGTTTAATTCAGGATCAAAATGTATATAACTGTTGTTTTTTTTTCTTTGTTTTAAAGATTCTGATTTTAAATTAAACTTCTCGAATAAATATTTTATGTTATTATTCAACTGTTCACAATTTCTACATGTCAAAACGGCTGATTTTCTTATGACTTCACTGGGGTAAGCCATATGAATTCCTTAAATGGGACGTATATCAGGTGCACGACATCCCGAACTACATACAGCAAAATAAAATGGTAGCTTAAATCATGCAGAAACCAAACTTACTGGGTGTTAACCAAAAGTACAAACGTTTGTAAGCTGTGAGAGAAGTGGTATCGGATGTACGATCAATAGTAGGTGTATATTTTGACAAATTATAATACAGTTATCTTAACAATGCGAATTTCACAGTTCGGTTGTTATTCTCACCACAGTCGAATAGGGTCATTTTATAAAAAAAATTCAAATTTTTGTTTACTATCATCGGAGGTTCTTTTGACTTTTTGTAAGGTATTTTATCATTGAAGGATGCACCCGTACAGTGTAAAATGCTCACTGTGTGTGAATCTCAAGATGCTTATGATTATTATTCTAATTATATTCTCGATAGCTGTGGGAAAGACCAAATATACATTAAAATATATTACATAATACGTTGACTTTTTTGAAAACTAAAAATAGAGATAATCATGGACTTTTTGGAATTGCTTATGATATAATACCATACTTTTAAGAAAAACGACACATTTTTATTGGACGGTACATGTGGCCGTGTTTTGGCAAATATGGTATTTATAGAAAAATCATTTTCTGGTTTCATCAATTTCTGTTAATGTTAAGAGAATAGTTTTATAAACTATTAATTAGACATTTATTAAATGAAAAGTCCGTAATCAACTCTCGATGCCATCTTATGTGTTGGATTTTCACTGGATTTGAAACTGATCTGTTGCTCAATGCTCATTGATGATTAATTCCAAAATGGATAATCGAGACTAAGATTTTTATCGTACCGACTTTAGTAATGATGATCGAGGCCGGGCTTACAATTAAATCGATAATATCTCGGTTCAGAGTGGAGCAATTTGCCTGAAATTTTCAGCATATTCCCTTTACATTATCTAGTTTTTTAACTATTATTGTCAGCGCTTTATCTATTCTTCCATAATGCCCCTTTAAAACTTGGTGAATTATAATTATTTTTCATGGAAACAGATAATGAGAGAGAGAGAGAGAAGAGTGAGAGAGAGAGAGAGAAATGGGGTTTAACGTCCACTCCACACAAACTAGGTCATTTCGTGACTAACATATGGTTCAATTTTATTTCCATAATTCGCTTGCGCGAGGGGGTCTTTAGCAGTGGGAGGAAACCGGAGGGCCCGAAGAAAACCCACGAGGTTGGATAGGCGACCCTATTCCTTGTCACGTACAACCGGAGATCGAAACCACGCCAGTTGACTCCATGACAGACTTTATGAGAGAGAGAGAGAGAGAGAGAGAGAGAGAGAGAGAGAGAAATGGGGTTTAACGTCCACTCCACACAAACTAGATCATTTCGTGACTAACATATGGTTCAATTTTATTTAGATAATTCGCTTGCGCGAGGGGGTCTTTAACAGTGGGAGGAAACCGGAGGGCCCGAAGAAAACCCACGAGGTTGGATAGGCGACCCTATTCCTTGTCACGTACAACCGGAGATCGAAACCACGCCAGTTGACTCCATGACAGACTTTATGAAACAGCGCGCACGTGCTAACCATTCAGCCATCCAACCCCCGAAACAGATAATGAAAAGAAGGAAATACTGTGACAAGTGAATTATCCGCGAAATACCAGAATGTCCAATGAAACAATATTTTACAGGCCTCCCAGATCCAGTATTATTACCGCCTAGAAGGGCATAATTATAACGAAAGGAGGTAAGTTTATGACGTCTATCATGGGGACATAAACGGGGCTTTTGTTATAAAGTCAGTTTACAAGACCCTAACCCTGGCGAAACATAGGCCAACCTCGAACACGGCAGCTTTAAATCCAAGGACAGTCGAGATAACTTCGCAAAAGAAAAAAAATATTTCGAGATGTTATGGATAACCGAGTCTAAAGCATACGTATCATACCATAAGATACGCATATTCTGGGAAGTGGGCCTTTATGTCCATATGATGGAGGTCATAAATTTACCGAACGGTAAAAACGGGTTGCCGTTTACCTTCTTATAGGCCAATTTATATCCTTATTGTTATACCCTTCTAGGCTGTATTAATATTCCACAGCCTAGTAAGATTATACATTTATATAATGTTGTGTGGTTTATTTTTTGTTATTGCAATCAAGTTTTAAGTAGTGTTTTTACTAAAACATGATATTTTACTATTTATCTTAAGGCAACGTTCATATCAAAATTTCAATTACGTCGAAATAGATATTTCTTGAAGATCTCCTTAAAATCTTGTCAGAGGAAATCAACTGAAAAATTGGCTCAGCTAAGTGAGAAGGGTGGGTTTTTTCGCATAATCATTTTGGCTAACGTTGTGACCTTGTCTATTCCGTGTAACAACCTTAGAGATAATTCAGAAAATTTGTGTCAATGAGATTAGACTTCGATTTGCAGTATTTTGGGGGACTTATTTGTATCTTTTTGATCGCCCCAAGACATCTATAATTTAAAAGATTCAAACCATTTATATAACGGTGACAGCTAATTTACTCGATAAAATCGTGTAATTTTGTCACGATAATAAGGTAGGAATTATAACGAAAATGTTACTTTTGCAAATTATAACATGAAAAATGGTTTCTTACACGCACAGTTATCTACATATATAGGTCAAACTCATACATAAAGGAAAACAAAAGTCAGAAAAAAGCAAACATTCAGAAAATTCAACAATTTTTAACAATTCTGTTTTTTTTTATGAAGCAATGTAGTTAAGATTTGTATAAATAATATGTATGTGAAAAACAGTATTCAAAACTTCATATTTACAAAATACTCAGGCTTATTTGTCTCCAATCGATTTCTCTTGTATAAATTGGCTTTTCTGTATTTTCAAATGCTTGGTTGTTCTATTGTGTAGAAACTACCTTTAAAAAGTTAATAGCTTCACGATCAGATATCAACTGAGTCAAATCAAGAGAGTATATAAGTAAAACAGTTAAAAATCATGTGACTGTTATTCCAAGCGCTCACAAATTACCAACCCCACCCTCACCACCACCCCAGATTATTATATTTTTTTTTTGGGCGGGGAGCTAAAATACTGCAAAAAAAGTTATTTCATACCCAAAATAAAAGCTACTTTCAATCGCTTTCTTGATAAAACCAAAGCGGCATTAAAAGTAAAATTCTTGAGCAACCTGAAACCGGAAACAGAGATATTAATCTTTCGATTATCCAAGCCGCATTTTTATCATACTGAAATACAATTTATAAAACTATTTTATTAATATTTGATCCATATCCATCTGAAAACATAACTGTTTCTATTTACGATATCTTGGAGGGCTCAGATAATATGGAAACCTTGCACAGCTCCCCCGATTTGGTTGTTGTGAATTCGATCCTATCTATGCATTAACCTTTAAAGATAAATTCTTTGCAGGATATTTAGTTCAAGTATTTGCATTTACATTTTATCAAACAAAAATGACCCTCATATTGAACGGTGAAAATACAACTATCAAGACCATTTAAAAGGTTTGTAAAATAACCGTATAACAGTCCAGTTGTCATCAAGACCGAATCGAATTGTCAAGAAATGATAATTGTTCGATAAATGTAAATAGAATTTCAATCCCGTAGCCCTGCTCCCTGATTTATCTACTAACCTAACCAAATTATTGATTGTGTGGATTTTATAAACATCAACGACTTCTGTGATAGTTTAAATGTAATGAGATTAAATCTTCTAGATACAATTCCAAGTTTTATGAGGTCGTTAAACTGAAAATGAAAACGGATGTCTTATTTCCGATTTAGCTATTTTCTGTAAAACACCTAATATTAGTTTACTTCAGGACAACATGTGACCGACTTCAACTATCTCGACATCCCCATTGAGTTTCGGGAACATTAAGTCCCCTGAACGACATAGCAACGTGAAATTCTCGTTTATCGGTGCCTGAAAGACATGATGTAGCTGATGGTGAATTAGTGAGTCGATTGCACTCTGGGGAATACAGCCCAGTCCGAATTGCAGTAATCAGGCATGTCATCTACTTGATAAATAAGAATTCAACTGGATGAAGTAATCACAGGGGACATCAGACACTCAGACGATATATATTTCACAGGAAAAAGTAGACGTTGGTCAACGTTTAGCAGTACAGTACGATTAAAGCTTTTTTTTAGAGATGAAAGTGACATTGATAAATTATAACCTTTGTGGGTGGATTTAAAATGGAGAGGTTTTTTTCACAGATCCACAAAACACATTTCAATGTTGAAAGGGAAACATTTTTATCACAGAAGTATGGTCTTACAAATTTATCTGATTTTATTGTCACGACATTGAAGACATTTACGTTCGCTTACTTTAGTTCGACAATCACAATGACCCAAGCCTATGACAGTGAAAAATAGGAAAATGATAACAGATGTGTTTAAAATAACTACACTTCTCTGATCTGGGTCAAAGATAAAATGATTGATTTCACTGATTTGTATGTGCTTATCTGGGTCAAAATCAAAATTATAGATTCCACTGACTTTTGTGTTAATGTATTATTTTCGTTTGATAATTTGTCTTCTTTGAAATTATGCGCGTTTACAGATAAGGCCACTATAAAAATGTGTTCCACTTTTGATACAGAGGCAAATAACTGAACTAAAATTAGTAAATAGACCGACTTCCCGTTAATTTTACGAACACAACTTTAACCCTTCACTAATCGAAATAATAAATTAGATCAATCCAATTTAGACTTAAATCAAAGAAGTTGAACTCCCTTAATTTACCTGTAGAAAAGAAAGGTTTCAGTAGATGTGTGCCATGTGTAAATGATAACTCTAGTGCCCCACAACATTT